GGCCTGCAGCTCTGGCATGCCTGCTGCTTGGTTTGGTTGTTGTTTTTTTTTAAGCTGTGTTAGACTTGGAAGGAAGGCAGGAGGTGCAGGAGTCAACCGGGGGGAGGCAGCAGCTTCGTGAGCCCAGTGCACCAGGTAAGGGGTGTTGTGATGCCTGCAGTTTCTCACCCCCCTACGACCACCCATTGACCACCCATTGAACCTCTGCACACAGTGTGAGATGGGAGAGCACCCAGAGGTGCTCGGTGGGGTGATGAGGTTTGTGGGCATCTCCAAACATCCCCCTGCATCTGCCTTGGCTTCACTGCGTCTCTGGGCAGTGAAGTTGCAAACAGAGCCATGTGGGAGCTGAGCAGCCACAGGATCGCTGCTCTTCGGGGAGCTGGATGGGGATCAGCAAATCCCTGCTGTCCTCCGTAGCGCTGTGCACTCAGCTTGCTGCAGCTTCACACAGAGCTCACAGCTTCTTTATAAAATTTCCCCTCTGAGCAGATCTGCTATCTAGCAAGCCCTGGACTGTCTGCATGGTGTTTTCAGAGGGAATAGCTAACAGGAGTTGTTGAGCAGCGAGCAAAGCCCTAGGAGCAGATACAGGCCTTGCCAAAGCAGAAGTGGAATAGCAGGTTAGTGTTTTGTGAGCTGAGAGGGGCCAGGAGCTGCTGTCTGCTCCAGAGTCTCTTAATTACAGTCTGGTAGGGAGGAGTGTCCTGATGCCTCACACACCACCATGCTGCACTGGGGCTGCTGGCTCCCCCCAGAGATGGCTTCAAGGTCACGCTGCTAAATGCAGTGTAATAATTAATTAAGCTATATATAAACAGCAAGCTCATGCACTCCTAAAGCAGATTAGGAGCACAGGAGTTTCCTCCCCATGGCCGTTTCTTCGCTGGGTTCCTCTGCAGTGAGCCATGTAGTTGTGCTCAGCCATCCAGCATGGGTCACCAGTAGTGCTGAGCAGCTGCAGGGCTGGGGCTGAGTTGGAGAATGGTGGGGGCAGACAAAAGCCTGCTCCCAGACCTGCAAGGTCCCCTAGACCCCCATTAAACCCAGTCTTCTTGCTGTGGATGGAGAGAGGGGACACATGCAGCATCTCTGCCTTCTACATGGGTGCCCAGTACTGGAAGAGCTGTTGGGATTTCCCTTCAACAAGTGTTTCAAGGCTGCTGTTGCTGTGAGGCTCAGCATGGCAGTAACAGAGCTGCAGAGTGCTTTCATTTGCCACCGTGATGATGAGGAGACTTTGGTGTGGGTACACAAAAGGTTGGTTGGTGTGGAGGTGGGAAGCTGGAGGTGGAGGAATGAATTGTGCTGGGTTTTCTAGAAGGCCTAGAGCAACCTGATGTAACGAGGCATGAAATTAGAGCCCAACAAATGCTTGCTGCGTGACTCCTCTGGAGCTGTGATTCATACAGCATCAAAAAGATGCTTGTTCTTTTACTGTTTTGAGGTGTCTTTGGATAGATGTCCAAAATGGGTCGAATCTCTATGCAAACTCCAGAAGTAAGCATTTAGGGGTGAAGTTTAGTTTATATTCAGGTTATTCTTGATGTAGGTGCAGAAACCTTCCAGGAAAACTAAAAGCTGCATCTCTTCATCAAGTAGAAGTGATCTGCACTGTCAGATGCTGCTGGGAGGAGGAGCAGAGCAGCTTTCAGTACTTCCAGATCAGGAAGGGTTTTGAAGTCAGCACACACCCATGCTACAGAACCCATCAGCAACATCCTTGGAAAATCCTAAACAGACCCTAAGGTCACCTCCAGGAAGAGTGGAGCAATGAGCATCATTGCTGCATGCTTGATTGTTTTCTTCTGCTGATCCTTCATGGCACATTCTGATGCGTGACCAGGTGGGCCAGTGTGAAGCAGGGATTGGTAATGGGGAGAGCAGCCTGGGGCTGGTGGGCTCCGTGGAAGAGATTGGATCCAGGAGATCTGAGCTGCCCTCCTGCAGCCCTGTCGCTCTCTGATACAGAGCTGGCTTGTCTCGGTTTCTAAGAGCCAGGATGTGGCTACATCCAGGAGATGGAAGCAGAGAGAAAAAAGGCTTTGTGAGAGCTCACAATGGAGCCCCGGGTTGGTTCAGTCCCAGTCAGAGGGGGCCGGCTGTCTCTTTGGGAACCCAAGGGTGTAGAGATCAAAGGTGCGGGTGAGTCAATTACAATTCACATTTGGTTCATCCATATGTTTGAGTATTTGAAAGGCTTCAATAGTAATCCATTTTATATCTCCTGTGCCCATTGATTTGTTAATCTGACACTCGGTTTCATCTGAATGACAATGGCTCTCATTCAGACTCTTCAGTGTTCAGGGAAAAGTCATTTCACTTGGGTTGTGCTCCATCTCTCAGCATACCAGCCCTCTGCCTTCCCTGTGTCAGGGACTGTCGAGCCGAGGCATGGAGCAGGTTCAGAAGGAGATCAGCTCTCATGCATTTCCTATGACCTGTCTGATAGGTAGATCTGCTCCCACTGGTTGGGTTTTGGCAAGTGTGACATCACTCCACAAAGTCCCTTTGGGTTGGCACTGCAGCCATGGACCTGCCTTACAGCCATCAGGGTATGAAAAAAGACAACCCAAGCAGTCAGAAGTGAGCAGCCAGCATGAAGAGCCCTCCTAAACACAGCCCAAATGTGTAGGATTAGATCAAATCATTGGTATGGCAATGCACAGTGTCTAATTAAGTGAATGCCTTCTTAATTAGAAGTAGTGCTTTGCATCTGTTGTACTTGCAGCAGAGCATCTCCACCATCTGAGTCTGCTCTTTAAAGAGCTCTTGACTGCTTATGACCAGCCATGGTCCCACGTAATGACTGGGGCAGGAGGGGTGTCTGCAGACAGACCTGCTCCTTCTTGTTTCCCTAATTGCTGCCTGTCTCCCTCCTCCACTGGGAATCTCGTTCCTTCCCAGGCCTGTCGGTGTTCCTTCTGCTGCACCCAGAGCTCTGCAGCATTGCTGGCACTCGCCTTGTGGCATGGTGGCACAGCCACCCTCAGCAGAACATCCTCAGTGGGCACCCTACTCTTTGGTCCTGGTGTTTAATTGCTTTTCTGGCCTCTGGAGTTTTCTGTGAGGGGTAAAAAGGGTGGGAAGAGGCTGGGGGAGGGGGGGAGGGCCATGCCAGCCTGACTGGAGATGCTGGGGGAGAAAATCCCATCCCGGACAAATGTGTTGTCACTCACTAACCTGATCTGTTTACAATGGGAAGCTTAATTTCCAATGCACCGCCTACACCTTTCTGGCTGTAATCACAAATCCATTAAGGAATGAGGTGAGACAGCAATCCCATTTGTGCTAAAATGCATTTAGGGATCAGTGCTGAGAGGATCACCGGTGTATTAACTCCTGGGCCTTTGTTCCAGTGGGTGGCAAACACAACTCGCCCCGAGGTGGGACAAGCTGGTGGCCGGATGGCCACTGGGTCAGGTCACGGCTGTGCCACCTGGCAGCTGCTGTCACCTTCTGTAGAGAGGAAATTTGTTCATCGCTGTGGTTCTTCTCACTGGGACAGTGACCTGTGATGGACAGAGGGCTGCCCTGTTGTGCTTAGGGCCATTATGGAGGCTGCACGGCGTTCCAACTGGTTCCGCTGAGAGGGAACTGGGGCTGTGCAGCAGCTTCACGGCCACACTCAGCCTCTGTTGGCAGCATCCATGCGCATGTGGCTGTTGGCAAACAAGGCAGAAGAAGGAATTGTACCTTTTTTGGGTGGGATGGTGGTGAAAATGGACGGCTGGTTGCTTTCTGAACTGTCCTTTCCAAGCCCTGTGCAGCTGGGGCAATACCGGTTGCTTGCCTTTTGCCTTTAGCATTCCCTTATCTGCAGAAGATGGATTCCTGGAGTAACTATTTAAGGATGTGCAGTCTTTTCTTGATGCGTGTGTGCATTTGTCTGCAGGCTTCCCTGTTGCCTGCCCTGGCCTTGCCATCCAAACTGCTTCCTTTCTGCGTTCTGTGGAGGCGCCAGGCTGCTCTGGAGGATACTCAGAGGCTCCAAGCGCTCACAGGAGATCCCTGCTGCATGGACAAGGTGGTCTTCCTGCTTCTCTCTCTGCTCTGCTGCCCACAGTGAGAAAGAGCAGCAGGACTGTCCCACAGCTGCCACCAGCACCAGTTCCTTTTGGCTCTCTTTGCACACCCTGTGTGCACGTCCCACCCCAAAGGTGCCTCGCAGGAGTGACAAACAGCGAAGCGTCCCTGCAGGCAGCACAGGGCTTTATCACCAAGCTTTTATTTAATAGCAGGGCTCCATGGGAGCAGTGTGTGTCTAGGTGCATGCAGAGCCCTCCCTGTGCAAACGGGAGGCTGCTCAGGGGTGTGGGACAAAAGGCAGCACTATCAGTGCAGCTTGTTACCTGCCTGTGCAGGCACACAGGTTGGGGGCTTTCATTTGTGTGCTCGGGGAAGGACACAAAAGAGCTCTCAGTGGGGCTGTGATTGATGAACAGGGCAGGAGGGGAGTGTGGGTCCCGCCTGTCTCTGGGTTGGTTTTGTTTGGTGGCTGTTGATTCGTGCTGTGTTTAGTGAAGGGCTGGCTCAATAGGTGGTGGGTTTTTCTTTTAGCTCTCCTCTAGCAACATTTGGAGCGGGTGAAATGTGGTGTCTGGGCTGTTCCAGGGAGAGGGAAAGCATGGGAAAGGGAAGGGATGTGGAAGCATTGGCTTGTCCCTGTGTTGTGGCTCATCCCTGGGATGAAGTGTGGTGTGTGAGCTTTGTGTGCCCCTGGTTTCAGTTCATCTCCCCAAAGTCCTGTCCTGGCTCAGAGCTTGTGAGGTGTTGCTGAGGTGTCCTGAAGTGGTGTCCTAAAGTGATGTGGGGATGGTTGGAGTGGCTGTTGTCTCCTGCATAAGATACTGAAGATATGCCTGTTGGATCCAGCATGAGGTTTGCTCTGCTCGCTGGGCTCCCCACCCCTGGCATATGGCACAGGGGGTCCCTGGAGAAGGGCTTTAGGAATGAGGCTAATGGGGATAACCTCTTGTGGGCTTCCTGAGTTATAGGAATATGGCAGGGATAGGAAATATCTCCAGATGCAGTGCACAAGAGATCTAGAGCCCCACTGTGACAGCCTGAAGCTAACAGAGGCCCCAGCCTGGGGCAGGGTGCAGGGTCTGGCCCCATAGCACATCCTTTTGGGGCAGCCAGGAGGCTGCTCTGCTCTGCAGGGCTGATTGGTGGTTCTGTTCCTGCATTAGCCGTGGTGCTGCTGGGTTTGGGGTTCTTGAAAGACCTGGTGCTTCTAAGAAAACCATTGAAAGCCAACAAGCTGTATTCGCCCGCATTCTCACATCCATGGGCTCTAACCCTATGGGGGGTTGATCCCATCACTGCAAGGAAGCGCTTCTCTGAGAAGTAAGGAGAGATGTCCAAAGGACAGTGTCTGTGGTGTTTTAATGTCTTTGAGAGGATTAGTGCTGTTCCTACAAATTAGGAGAGGAAATAAGTGGGTGTGGGAGCACTTTGGGGCTATGGACTCTGTGCTGGGCTGGTGCATGTGCTGCTTGGAGCTGAGTGCCGCTGCTGCTGGGGTCTGTTCCACAGTACTGGCATGTCTGAGGGGCAAAGGGATGTCAGCCATCAAACCCACAGCCTCTGCCACCCCGCATCTTCTAGGGAAGTGCAGACAGTCTGAAATCATCTCCTGAAGCCGTGATTTCCCCCTGCAGGCTCCAAGGAAGGCTGCAGAAGAGCAGTGATTCCAGGCTGAGGAGCTCTTTTTGCACTCCTCCAGGTCAGCCTGCTTTTGGATGAGGACATCACTTTGGTTCTTGTAGCTGCTGGACCAATCCCAGCTCAGCTGGTGACGGTTGAAGCATCCCATGGAATGTGGGCCCTGTGCTGCTCAGTGCAGGGTTTTTGAGAAGCAGCATCTCTGGCACAAGATGCATTACAGGGAAGAGAAGCGGCTGGTCCCTCTGTGGCAGTGAGAGCCACAAGTCAGGCAAAGGCAGCCAGGAGGACTGATCTTTCCCAAGGATTGAGTTGTGAGTACTGGATCCCAGCAGATGCCTCAGATTCTTCTTTTTTCCACCTTTCTGGGCTGTTGTCTGCTTCTTTTACAGGGAGAAATGTTGCAACCACTTTGTGCTGAACTCTTGGGCACGGTGAAGGCAGTGCCAGCGTGTCGCAGCCCGGAGCCGCTGCACGTGGGTGACAGCTGCTGGCAGAGGGATGGAGGTGACAGGGGTGCACAGGGATGAATCGCAGCTACACGTTTTGCTGGCGTGCACCAAGAGGCAGCAGTACGCAGGGGTGAAACACACAGCTTGGCAGATGCGACTGGCCCTGCGATCTGCTGGAAAAAAGCCTTTGGTTCTGCTTTGCCAGTTAGCTCAGGTGTGTTTAGGGTTAGTTTTCCCCCTTAAATCACAGAACTTCCCCTTCCTTGTCCTTCTTTGAAACAAAAACTTTTTTTTTTTTTTTTAATTTATTATTATTTTTCTTCTTGGAAATGAAGACAGAGTAATCTCACATGACTCAAGCAGTGGGCAGTGCTGCTGTGCGATATTCTGAAGAAGTCACCCAGAAACAGCAATTAGCTTTTAATTGAAGTGCCGTGCCCGGCAGGAAGAGGAACCGGGGCCCTTTGTGCCCAGAGTGGCAGCGGGGGGACCTGGTGGCCCTGAATGGGACCAGGCTTGACCGAGAGGAGGAAGATGCTCATTTCAGCCCCACCCCCTTTCTGCACTCAAAAGCTGTTATTTTCAGAGCAAAGCACTATTGAAGCATAGGGACAATGGAGACCAAATCCTGCTGGGGGAAGGGAGGTGCTGGCAGTCGCATCTTTTGTTGCTTTTCCTTCTTTACTTGCCTATGGCCTTCCCACTCCAAGAAATCCACATAGATGCTCGCTAGATGATAATGCAATCACTTTCTTGGGACCTTGCTAATAGGATTATAATTATTACTGGAGATAAAGCGGAGTGAATGGAATATTTACCACTTCATCTCAAATTATTGTAAATCCCACCAAAGCAGCCCTTTGATATGTAAAGTGCTGGCCCCCCTCCCCTCAGCGAGATCATTATTTAGTGGAAGTTCCGAGCTTTTAAATATGATGGGGGACAGAAAGAGGCTTCGCTCTTTACATAAAGAGGGGACCGATATAATGAACTGGTGGAGCTGATGAATATCTTGGCTGGCTCCAGACAGCAAGGAGAGAAAGTTCTTGGTGAGTGTTTGTAAATGCGGCGCTGAGTTGGTGCAAAGCAAGGAGCCAGGGTGGGCTGTGCACGTGGAATGTCTGTGTTGGTTTGGGAGGGACCTGGACAAAGTGTGGGGAGAGAGACCTGCTGAGATTTTTGCTTGCGGGACCCCCAGCCAACAAGCAGGGCTTTCTTTCATGCCTGTCTCCCAAGTTTTCATCCCCCTGAGCCCTTCCTCCCAACACTGGGCATCTGCCTTGGGGCAGGGAACTGCTCCACTCAGGAGTCTGAGGCTCAGAGACCTACCTGGTGCCTTTGTGCCCATCCTTCTTAGCCTCACACAACCTTTGAGGCACATTGGTCCCTATTGCTCTCTCCAGTGAAAGCACAAATCCAGTTCCAATGCAGACAGCACTGCCAATTTAGCATCGCTGCTGCTAGAAGTTATTCCCTCCCTGCAGGCTACAACTCTGTGATGTGCCATGTATTGCACTGTCCCCTCCTGTTATGCTGTGTCTGCATGCAGTATAAGGACTGGTGCCCCATGTCCCTGCTCACAGCCCAGCACGTGATGGGCTTTGCATCTGCATCAAAAGAGTTGAGATCAGACTTCATGGCTGGAGCCTGTTCCCATCTGGTGGTGGACACCTGGGTCTGCAGACATCATCAAAGCCCACAGGAGGAGTGGCTTCTTGATGGGAAGCCTTCACGCTGTTACCTTCCTCTCCCTCTCCTAATCCCCAGACTCCCCAACAGGTGAAGGGACCTGGCAGATTTGGGGGCAGGGAGAAAGGAGGGTGAGAAAAACATGACTTTCATGCCCATGGATTATTTTCCCCTTCTCCCTTCTCCTTTATCTCCCCTTTCTCACCCCCCAAATTCATTAATTCCCATCATCTGGTTTGTGTAAATGTCGTGGCGAGTGTTTGATGGAGCTGGATAGGGTTACACCCGTTTCAAAAAGGCTGGGGCTGCTTCACAGCCGTTCTCTTTTATTGTTGTACAGTTTTCCAACCCAAACAACGGGCTCCTGCTTGAGACAAAAGCACACATGTTGCTCTTATAGGGCTGATAATAAAAAGAGGAGAGGCTGAGTGCTACTGCACAGGTCCTCAGTGCAACGGTGGGAGGAAAGGGCAACCCAAGGCAGGAAAATTTTGCAAAGACATTTTCAAGTGTATCAAATAATAAACCAGCAAGTGGAAGGATTTTTTCGTTGTGTCTCCTCTTCTCCTTCCTCTCCATTTTCTTTCCCTCTCCTCAGCTGCCAATAGTGAGCAAAGTGGGAGCCACATTGGTGATGCCAAAGCCAGTGGACCTTGGTACTGATCTGTCGTGTAGTTAAAGCTCTGTTATTCTCACGTTCTTTCCTTGCTTGCTGGCCAGGTTCTTGCTTTAAAGTAATATTTCTGTGACTTGATGATTTTATGGTCAGCCTTTGGGGGAAAGCAGCCATTAAATCCTTGCAGTCCTGTGGGGTGACTCAGCCGTGCCGTTTGTCCCTGTGGCTCTAACCGTGTTATATTCCAATCTTCTGCAAAACTCATCCTGGACTTTCAAGGTTCTCCTAATAGCACAGTCTGTTTTGGCTTTTGCTGTCTTGTAAGAAATATAAGGGGTTTTTGCTTGCTAGTGATAACAGAGATAAAGGCATGTAATTTAAGCTCCATAAAGCCACTTAAAGCCAATGATAAATACCAGTGAATAGGGTCTGTGTGCTGCCATACTTTGTGTTGGAGCCTTGAAAGTTCTCTTGCACTGCATCCCAGTGAAACTGGGACAGGGTTGGTTCTCCAACTGATGAGCAGTGGTTAAAGGCATGGGATCAGGATGGGTCCATTGTGGTGGCCTTTGGCCTTGTGCTGCAATGCTGGTGGTGCTCTGGGTTTTTGCTTCCCAGACCTTTGCTCATTCCCTGGTGCTGGTATAGGGCTAAAAGCCTCCTACTGGGCTGGGAGAATGTGTCTGCTTTTTCCATTTCTGGTCTATCAGATCCATGTGGTCTGTCAGACTGCCTCACTGTTGTGAGGTTTTGGGGGGACATTCCCCAGAAACTGTCATGTTTCCAAATTTTGGTTGTCTTGAAACATAGTCAGGAATTTGGGTACAAAGTGGCCAGGAATAGGTTGGATGCTTTACATGCCCACTGCTGTGTGGCCAAGCAAATGGTTCTGGATTACAGGGCTGAGTTTGATGTGAGCATGGCTGGTATCTGAAATAGTTCGACTTGCTCTTCTCCCCTTCTTTCCCTATTTTTCTTACTTCTAGGGCAAGCTCTGGGGAAAGTCTAGAAATCCTGCACAAAAAATCCATTCTCACCATATCTGCCTCGGGGTCTGTGTGAATGCTGCTCAGTCTGCCCCACAGCCTGCAGTCATCTTGGTGGCATCCGGAAATGTTGGTGTTTTATCTCAAACGTAATGACACTTCTCTTCTTTTTGGAGCTGCCTACACAGACAAAGCCCTCTCCTTTTTGGAGGGAAGTTTTGTTGTCCTTGCAGAGGGAAACTGAGACAGCTTAGGTGTCTGGAGGGGGTTGAGCTGAAGGACTGGGCTGGAGGTGGGGGCTTTGAGACTGGAACGAGCCATTGCTGCAGCCATGCAGTGGTGGCGGCAGAAGTGACTCACTGCAGCGCAGCAGGTATAGGGACCACTCGTCCCTCCCTGTCACAGGATTCCCAGCTGGGTGATGCTACCAGCCCTGCTAGGCTCCAGCACATTCCTAGCAGCTCTGCTTCTCTCCCTCCCCAGGAAGCTGCAGTCTGTCCTGCATGCCATTCTGTGCTACCTGCCACCGACACTGCAGCCACAGGACACAGAGGTCCCTGCAGCCCCCAGCCCCTCCTGGAGAAGTGGCAGCAGATTAGCTTGGACCCCCCCTGCGCAGACAAAAGCTGCCACAAAGGGCATTAGCCTTCAGGATTGGATTACCGTGGGGCCACCTGTCTTTCCCACTTTGTAAATTTATGTCTCTCTGAGTCTAGTTTTCACATTAGAGAAGTTTGTACTTAAAAAGCAAAATAAAATCCCCCCTGCCCCCCCTCCTCCCATGTCTCCCCTGGCAGCAGCCTGGTGGGGTTATTTTAGCATCCCATCTAATTGTGGAGTTCAGAGCTGAGCAGGGCTGGGAATTAGGGCTGTTTGAACGAGGAGGGCCTTTATTACATTAGTCTAAGTGGTTAATAGGTAAAGTAGGCCAATCCATCTTTAGACTAAGCCTATCACTTCGCCTACGGAGGATGCAAGCCTTCACCGAGGAAATATTCATTAGAGGAAAAGCTTTTCCTCTGTCTCTCTTGACATGTTCAGAGCGAGGGGCTTTGCTCTCTGCCTGCAGGAAATTCATGACTGTGATCCCACTGTATCTCCATCATCTCATGGGATCTGCAGGTCCTCCAGGTGCTGGCTGCCCAAATCAGGGATGCAGGAATTTGCTGGCAATGTTGTCCTCACTTTCCTTTTCTGTGCTCACAAAGCAGAATCCTTGTCTCTTCCCTAGTGGGGATGCAGGGGAAGGGTTCAAAGGTAGGACTGCAGCACTGGGACTCTCTGCTGTGGGATGTTCTCAAGGCAAAAAGGGTTTCAAAGGCTCAGGCAGTCCACAGTCAATATAAAATGGGATGATTTGAGTGCACACACTGGCTCCAGAGGTCTTTGATTCCAGGTTGCCAGAAGGCAGGAGGATAACAAGACGGGAAGACTGCTTGCCAAGCTTTTCATACCATCTTTATTTCCCACCCTGCTATCCACTGCAGCCCTCTGCACTGTCTCCATCCAGCCCTGTCCCGACTGGTGCAGCAGCTTTTGTCTGTGCTCAGATCTCTTTCCCACGGCCTGCCCTCAGCTTTATCATCTCCCTTCCCCGTAAGGTAGTGGTGGTGGCTGCACCTCTGCCATCACTGCCTTGCACAGGGAAGCTGCCCATGTCTGTATCTCCCAGAGGGGCCATATCCCACCAGCACACCATGGCTGCAGCTCTTCCAGCCATGATAGCTCCTTCCCTCGCCCTCTACCACTCAGGCAGCCATCCCTGTCTGGAAGCCTCGGGAGCAGATATTCAGAGTTGGAATCTGGTCCTGCTTCCATCGATGTACACATCTGGTGTGTTGTGTTGGAGCCACAGTGCTACACCCGGGCCAGTTTGCCCTTCTCCAGGTGTGGTTTGAATGGGAATAAACCCTCCTCAATGATTCTTCCACCTGTGTGAGTTCACAGCAGTAAACATACCAGTTCCTCCTGTCCCCAAGGCCGTGTGTCTGGCTGCCGTCATGATGGGTGATGCCTGTGTGGGAGGTTATGGAAGCCACGGAAAAGCTGCTCGCTACAGACGGGCACGTGCAATGAAACATTGCTTTCCTGGATGTGGTGCTGTCAGAGGTTCAAACCACATCCATGGGCCATGATATTTGACTTCTGCTGTTCTCCATTTTCTGTGCAGCCACTTTTCATTTGGGTCAGCTGTTGGAAACAAGATGTGCTGCATGTCCTCAGGCACAAACCAGGGGTGGGCTCAGGTGCTGCTGGCCCTATGGGTGCCTCTCGTGCTCTTCCACTTCTGCAGTGCACTCCTCTGAATTCATGGAAATGCTCATTAAGAGTTTCCCAACCCAATCACCTGACTCAGCAACTCTGCCCCCAGCAATTTCCTCCTCTTCCACAGGGCAGAGCCCTGCCTAAGGCCTCTCTTGTGCAAGGAGGAAAAAATAAGTCTTGCATCATTACCAGGAGCACAGTAAACACTGATTGCAGCAGCCCTGCAGGAGAAGTTGACCTTGATGTCCACAATGCAGAGTGACCTGCTGGACTCACTGCCTTCAGTTGGACCTAGGCCTATCATGGAGAGCAGTCTCCGCTCTTGGCAGGTCTCCGACTATTGGAGGCTTTGTGGATTGAAACCTTTAATCAATTGGTGGCCATCAATTGATGTAGAGCTCAGATTTAACGTGGCCATAAAAAAGAGACCCCACTTAATGAGTAGTCTGTCGAAATCCACATCAGCCCACGTTAGATTTAGGAGTCCCTCCCTGAGCGTCACTGACTCGCGCTGTTCTCCGAAGGCGTTACCGGTTTGTGAGTGAGCCAGAAAGGCACAGGGTTAGTCAGAGCTGTGTTTTGATTCTGTTTGTCTGCACGTGACAGCTCCTGACTTGCAGCAGCATTCATATCCCAGGTGCCCATAGGCTGGGGCGACTTTCGTCTGCATGAGAAACTCCATTTGTGTGATGCTGAGAAGGCAGCCCTAGGGTTTGCCATCACTGTTGGCTGGAGGTTGCCCCAGCATGTTTGCCCCTTTGTCCCAGGTCCACTGACTGCCCTACTGACCCAAGAGGATCTAGACTAGATGATCTTAGAGGTCTTTTCCAGCCTTAATGATTCTATGATTCTATGAACAGTGCAGTGCAGAGCCCACAGGTGTGGGCATTGCATGTCCCTTGGCAGTAAACACATTGCATAAACTTAATGCCAGAAGGTGAAATAGAATGCTATGTACAATCTACATCAAACAGCAGTTACCTAAACAGCTACTGACCAAATTCCATGGCCATGCAGCAATTTGTTGTTCTGTCAGCCCACTCATTATGGATTTTCCTGCTATTTACCCCCAGATGGGTCATTTTTCCCTTTGCCTTCTTACTCAGGGAAACCACTGGCATTAGCACGAGTTGTCAGCAGCATTTGGAATCTTGAGGGCTCACAGTGATCTTTGCTGTAGAGGCATAAAGCAATGTGGGAGGGTAACAAGCAGCCTCTGTGTGCAGTGCAGTGCAGTACAGCTGGGGTAAGGCTGCTTGAGGCTTGCAGATCACACGCTCACCAGTCATTTCTCTGTGATGGTGGATGCTTTGAAAACTTAATCAAGTTTTATAGCTTTAATTTTGTGACAGACTCCCCTCTTGCTGTCTTTAACTGTCTCTCAGCCCAGAGTAAATGAGTCCCATGGGGTTGTGAAGCGAAAGCATTGGCAAAGGGTCTAAAATATTTAGGCTTGCCAAGTGAATGTTAGGAAAAAATGACTTTTCTTGCTTTGAGCTATTTCAGTAATTTTAGAAAGTTATCCAGTTTTTATCAGCGTTGTTAATTAGAAATGACCAGGGAAACAGAGCAGAATTCAAGGATTTGTGTATTGTGAGGGTGTGCAAGCTTAGGTTGTGTTCTCCTGGTTGCATCCTGTATCCCAACTGGTTGTAGCCCATGTGGCGCTAGAGAAGACAGGCTGTCCTTGCTGGGTACTGGCTGGAATGTGCTGGAGATGCCTCCAGCAGCTCCTTCTGGTGCTTGACAGGGAAATACCCTGCTGAGGACCCAGTTGTTGGGTGACCAGCTAGGCAGATGCTGTGGGCAAATAGCTCTTTTTTGCCTAAACTGAGAGAAATGTAACACTGGAGATGCTAACGGAAAGCAGAGTGGGCATGCTCTGGTGAGCTCCTGGCTTTCAGTAGACCTTCCTCTTGTTACCCTTGGGAAGATGAGCTGTGGGCTGGGCATGGAGGCAGTCTGGTGCTGACATGAGCCATGCACAGTGCTGCTGTGGACTCATCCTGACCATGTGGTGTGGTGTGCGCAGCCACACTGCAGGTGTGGAGTTACAGCCTGGCTCCCCCACCCCTGGAGAAGTGGGACATTGCTCAGCTGGGTTTCTAATACAGTGCTGTTTAACAATACCCATAGCCCCTAGATCATTGGAAAATGGATTTATCCATGTGAGCTAAATGGCCCATACAAACATGTTAAGGAAGAAAATTCTTGTGTATGTATGTGTACCTGTATTTATATATACGTGTGTATTTTGCTGTTACCTGCTGTTGTAACCTGCACGTTTTGCTGGCAGGGACCTCATGCCCAGGACCCTGGAGGGGCAGATCACCATGGAGAAGACCCCCAGCTACTTCGTCACCAAGGAGGCCCCGGCCCGCATCTCCTCCATGGCCAAGGGCACGAAGCTGATCGTGGTGGTGCGGGACCCCGTGACCAGAGCCATCTCGGACTACACGCAGACGCTCTCCAAGAAGCCCGACATCCCCACCTTTGAGAGCCTGACCTTCAAAAACAGGACTACGGGCCTGATCGACACCTCGTGGAGCGCCATCCAGATCGGCATCTACGCCAAGCACCTGGAGAACTGGCTGCTCTACTTCCCCATCGGGCAGATCCTCTTCGTCAGCGGGGAGAGGCTCATCAGCGACCCCGCGGGGGAGCTGGGCAGGGTCCAGGACTTTCTGGGCCTCAAGAGGATCATCACCGACAAACACTTCTACTTCAACAAAACCAAGGGCTTCCCCTGCCTGAAGAAGGCGGAGGGCAGCAGCAAACCCCACTGCCTGGGGAAAACGAAAGGCAGGACCCACCCCGACATCGACCAGGAGGTGGTGCAGAGGCTGCGGGACTTCTACCGGCCCTTCAACATGAAGTTCTACCAGATGACGGGGCAGGACTTCGGCTGGGACTGAGGCTGGCGTGGGAAAGTCCCCTGTAATTACTTGCCCATCACAGTTTGCGTATATAAAGAGATATATATGTATGTAAAATGTACAGAAATCTATTTTATAATAATTTATTTTTAATTCCTAAGCAATTAATTCACTAAGCTGCCTAACCGCACTGGCTAGAACGGTAGCCTGTAACCTGTTTAACATTCCACCGTGTTTAATTCTAATATGTCTCTTCTTTTTTTTTTTTTTCCTCCTTTTTTTTTTTTTTTTTTTTTGGTTTGGTTTGTAACTGACGGTGCTTCCATTTTTCCTAAAGAAGATTTGTATTTAAAAATAAAAAAAGCAAAAAAAATCAAATACAAAAACAAAAACAAAAAAAAAAAGGGACGGGTGGGAAGGGAGGGAGGGGAAAGCACAAATTTATTTTTGTTACGGGTATCTGGCCTTTATAAACACTTGCTTTCCCTATTCCGGTGTCCCGGTCTCTGCTCCCTCGTCCCAGGGGTTCTGTGGGGCGGGTGGGTGCAGAGCTGGTGGGTCAGAGCGTGGGGAATCCAAGCCATAGAGCCCCTGCCTGGTGTCCCATGCTCCTTTCCTCGTGGGGATGCTGCAGAGCCTGCGGCGCAGGCAGAGTGGACTCTTGAGCCTGCTGCTCCTTGCCCTGTGTCGAGGAGGCTCTTTCCCACAGTCCCTCTATGCATTTTAAATCTTGACTGCAGGACAAATGTGAAAATGCATGTATATGTGAGTGCGATGCACTCTGTGCTGCTCAGAAGCCACATGTGGTGCCTGCCCCACGGGGGGAGATGCCAGAGATACCCGCAGAGCCACCTGAGCCCCCAAGTCTGAGCCTAGCACTGTGCCCTTGGTGCCCCCCAGGGCACTGCCCCTGCTGGGAAACAACAGCTGGCCCTCTTTACTCCTGCTGTATTTTGGTTGAACACATTTCCCATGCTCTCAAGGAGCAGTATGTGCTTAGAACTGGGAAAAATGCTGCTTTGCCAATGAGGGCAAACCTATAGAAAAGCAGGGGGAGGCTGGCAGCTGGGCAGGATGGGAGGCTCTGAGCACCTCGCTGTCAAGCCGTGTGCAGTGACCTGGAAATCCTTCCCCAGAAGTGGAATTGAATGTGTTGGAACGTTAGAACAGGTTGGCAGGGCTCTCCGAAAAGCTCCAGCTGTGTTTTGCATGCTCAGCAGGTTTTGGTAATCACTGTGTGTGCCCACTGCCTTGTTGCTGTCAGAGGTTCTGTTAGCTCAGCTGAACACCTGCAGGGCTGTGGTGAAGCTGTATGGGCTGTGGGCTGACACAGCAGCGTTCCATTGGGTACCTTGTCCATGCTGGTGGGGTGTGTGGGGTTCACACCCCGTGTGCATGTCCTTAAGAAGTGGGAGATGTCAAGCATGATGCCAGGTAGCAAAACTGCAGTGAGCAGGACCAGCTCCCCATGTGGGCATTGCCCCCAGACACGTCTTCCTACAAAGAGAATGTGATGCAAATCCTCTCCTTGCACCAAGCCTTTTCTGGCAATGAAGCAATGCTTAGGGCCACCATCCACCAACAGGAGTGTGGGACCGGACAGGTTAGCAGAGCACACCCCGCTGTCCCACAAATACAGCTGAAACCCATGGTGGTGGTTGGATCTATGCACATTTGGGGGCTTTGGTGCCCAGCCAGGCCCCGTTCCCTACTGACAGATGCATGAGCACATTGCAGACCCCATAGTGTTGGGTGGCCTGGGAGAAGGAACTGCTTGGGGCTGGTGGGGTGATGAGAAGGAAACACTTGGTGTTGGAAAAGTGATGAGGGGTCCCAACATTCTCAGTATTCTACAAGCTGGCTTATGCAAAGTGCAGAAGGAAAAAGCTTGCCTTCCCCAAGTGATTCCCACTCTGTGGCTTCCCTGCCATGTGCTTCCCTTAGGGTGCGTGTGCCCGCCTGTTTTTTGTGCTGGAAGATTCAGCATCCCCTCTCTCTTCTAGGATACAACTTCTTAATATCCCGATGTCTTCCTCAGCTGCGTGGCAGAGCTCAGGCTTCATTTGTGTTATCCAACCCTGCTGCAAAACGCTCTCATGAAGCAATCTTCTAGAAGAGCAGAAATACAGAGGGTGAATAATAACTCTTCTAACTGTGAGCAAACGGTTAGCCCTGCCTCAGTATCCTCTGTAATGAAGTGTGTAGTAGACTTCATTCACTGTAGAGGCCTTACCTGACAGTGTGACAGCAAAGGTGAATTCCCCGTGGTGTACGGCCGGTTGCTAATACTGGAATCAGTTCTATTGTCATCATTTAAAAACAAAACCTTTGGTGTTTGTTTGTTTTTTGTTTGAAGTTAAGCTTGGAGGTGTGATTAGAAGTTCTTTTTTTTTTATTATTTTATTTTATTTTTTAAACCTTCACATTGTAACATTAATTTATGGCTGAGTTTCATTCAGTCCTGTATTCTGAAGTGCAGTACAGGTATTAGTGATGCGTTCTCTGTAACATGGTACTGTAGAGTAGCCCATTTGTTAAAAAAAAAATAAAAAATAGTAATGATAATAATAATTAAAAAAAAAACAACAACAAAATGGAAAGAAAAAAACCCACAAAAAAGAGAGTCTGATTAAAAATGTAAATCAAGTATTTTGTGGTATGTACAACACAAATTAATTTTACACAGAGAAAGATGTTTCTAGGAAAATGAAATTCTGATAATTCATACTATTTGTATGAACAAATAAAAACTCTATTTTACCAAGCGATGGGTGCAGCTGCATTCATTTGGGCTGGGGGTGCTCCCCAGTTGGGTTGGGCATTGCTGGCTCCATGCAAAGCCCCAGGGTGTGTTTGGGAGCTGGAGGCATCCTTGGGTGGAGTTTTGCTCAGCCGCATTGCGTGGGCTGGTCTGACCCATCCAACACATCTCATCAAATGTGATTTGGGGGAAGAAGAACCAAGGCTTGCCCTCAGCCCCACTGCAGGACTTGGGTGCTCATGGCCATTCTCCCATGCTGGGATGCTGGAGGATGGATTTGGTCCTTCCATGCTGTTGGTGGTGGGGATCTTTCCAGAGCCAAGCTTCTTTCCAAAGCTTTGCAGTCATTGCTCTGATGCTGGTCCAAACCTCTGGGGCCAGTGGTTGCTGCTGCTCCTACACACTCAGCACTTTAAGACATAAAAATTCATTATCATCAAGTTCAGAGGAATCCCAGGCCAGTGCTATACAAAGCAGTGCCTGAAGAGCAGTGCAGATTTATGAAACAGAGCAATTGCCATTTAACTAAACTGAATTAAAATAATTTAATTTTTCTTAGCAAGTCTTGCATCCGGTGCGGAGTAATTGATGGAATCTCTCAGATTGCCCATTTTTCAGAGACATGGAATGGCAGTCAGAATTACGCACAGTGTGCAATGTAGCAATTGAAGAGGAATTTGACCCGCATGCCTCCGGCTTGTCAGGATTTTAATCAGCTGCTCCCAACCTCAGGCAACACTAAGACTATAGGTGAGTCGTTTTTAAGATGTATAATCAGGGCAGATTTTACTTTAAAATTCCCATATACTCATTGAGTGCTGCAGCTGGATGTGCTGAGAGCTGACTTCAGGTGAAGGGGGTGAGCAGCTCGTTACCCCGCTCCCACCTTGGCTGGGTCCCATTCAAAGCCAGGTGCTCCTGAAAGATAAGAGTTCGGGGATTAGGTTCTGAATATAGAGGAGCATTTTCCCCAAAGGAGGGAAGATGAAGCCTTCTGGTGGCTCTGGGTTCCTCTGTGGAAGGAGAAGGTGTCTGAAGAGCTGGAATGATGTGATGGAGAAGCAGGTGAGGCTGGAAGATTGGTGCTAATGATGGTGACTACTGGGGTGGATTTACTTTCATGTGGGCAAGGCACAAAAGTCAGGTGTGGAACTTGTAGAGATGAGTTTGCTTTGACAAAGGCAAATTTTTTTTTCCCCATTATTGGGTTTGGGACCAAAATGTTTCATTTGAGGGAACTGTGAAGACTCAGATGCTTTTTGCTTGGGCCTGGCTTCAGGGAGGGGTCACTTCTGTGAGTGTTTTCCCTGGGATTGGTGTGCTGTATGTACCTCCCATACCCAGGTGCTGGTGGCCCTGGTTCCCAAGCTGCTGGGGAACCGCAATTGGGATTGCTTTGCTTCTCTTCCTCAATTATCTGTGTTTTTCTTCCCCCTCAAAAAAAATCTCAGTTAGCCACTAGATCTGAATTAATAGCTTCAAATAAAGCCCTTCTTTATTATCCTCCAATTTCTCTCTGTGGTTAAGAATCACAGTGTTAACTCTTAATACATATATTCAAAAAGGTAATAGCAATAAATTAGTAATAAATCCTTCAGGCATTTCTATGGGAGATGAGTGTTCAGCACCTTGTTTAATTTTATTGGAGGGAGGAATCCCTGTGTCAAACATCAGTGTTGGCACCTTTGGCTGGGATAAAACTTCACATCTAATGTGAGTTTGCAGAGCTTTGGGCCAACCAAGATTCCCCAACGTGAGGGGGATGTAACTTCATTAAGAGGGATGTTCCAGCTCCTTGCCCCATGCACTAATTCACTGGGAGGGACCAACTGGCGTAGAAGATGGGATAGCTTGGTGAGAAGAGTTTAGATCAGCCAACCTATTAGCCCTATTTACTGCTGCTTCCCTTTGTTTTCAATGGATCACCATCTGGTCCTCTGTGACTTCTAGGTCCTGACTTTTGCCTTCACAAATGGGATTTAAATAGGATTGCTGAAGTCAGCCACTATCGCTGTAACGATTCAGAACTGAAGAGCATCCTTGAGGAATATTTGCAACTGTTTATACAGTCAGCTATAATTGTGAGGCTTAATTCATGCTCATTAAAGTCTTCTGAGGTGCTTGATGAGAGGCACTGCAGCAGCACAAAGTATTTCTGGTTATTCAGGCTGCTCACAGCAATGGAGTCATTGCCATTTGTCTTGGCTTGATTTCTTCCCATCCCACCAGGAGCTGCTGGGAGGACACCAGTACCAGCTGTCCTCAGAAACCAGCTCAGAGCTGGCTCTTGTTTAAGTGCCATGCCCTGATAACAACCAAAACCCTGAACAAAAGAATGAAGTTTTAAAGTAATATGATCAAAAATCTCTTGGCAGGGAAGGTGCAACTGGCTGCTTTGACATGTAGGTTATTTAGCTGGGAATTTATGTGTCAAAAGCTTAAAAGCTTCACTGAAGCAAATATAAGAAAGCGCCATGTATCCAACTAATTAAGTCATGTCAGCCAAATATAATTTATTTCTCACCATCACTCATGTCTACAGCAGAATTATCTCATTTTTGATTTCTAATGACTTTCTCTCTCATTAATCTGACCATGAATTTTTTTTTTATATAAGTCTCTGGCATCGAAGCAAAGAATTTTCTTTTTAATAAGACCAGCATCCCTGGGTAATTCTGTGGTGTGTGCTTGGGAGGGGGAAGGGAGCCCACTGGGGCTTTGAGGCAAGGCTGTAGCCTTCTTCCAGCCATCCTGGTGGGCTTTACCCTATGTCTTCCACAGGACTTCAGCGTGGCCCTTTTCCCTTAGTCCTCTCTTTTCTTCTGGTACAAAGTTGGGTTTTGCTTTTAAAGGCATTTCCCTGTACTTTGCAGATAATTTTATCAAGTGCTTTTCAAGCAACAATTCTGACTCTTCTGTTTCCCAAAGCATCCTGGCTCTTCTCAAGTACACAGGCTATTGCCAAGGCTTTAAATTTGGTTCTTCCACCTGTTGTGTGTAACTCTGTCCCAGGCATGTGTGTCTTGATCATTGGAAGTGTCACTCTTTCTGGTTTACTGCTTTGTTATCTGAGTCTCTTTTTCCCATACAGTTTTTCCAGTCTCTAGAGTTCCCAAACAAAACTTAGACTGGATGACATGCACAGTTTGCAGCCAGCATCCCAACTCTGACCTCAGACAGATCCCAGAACCAGGGAGCTTTCTGTTCTGCTACTCACAGGTGAGCAGTGCTGAATTTGTAACTTAGAGATTTGTGTTCTCCATGTGCATCTGACACCTTTTTCTGGTGAAGGCAGAGATTGGACATAACCTAAAATAATGAGTAAATACTCCTTCTGAAACTTCCAATCTCAGCTGCAGATCAAAGAAACTCGGGTAATCCAGAAAGACATCCAAGTCTTTGGTGCTTTCCATACATTGGCCTGAACCTGTGATAGACTCCTTTGTTTCCAACCTGTGCAAAAGTAGAGCTACCCACAGTCACTGAGAGCAACCTCGTGTGGGAGGAACTGTGGTTAGCAGCCAGCCTGGGCTGCTGCGGGGTGACTGGGTTGGCAGCTGCCCCAGGCAGGCAGCAAGCAATGCTCCAGCAGTGTGGGCACAGTCCCAGCTGGCAGGGATCCTCTGCCTTCAAAGGGTGAGCTGGGAGGAAGCTGAAGGCAATAGCAGATGGTTGAAGGGTGATAGGGAAAATGGGTGAGGTAGGAGTGTAAAGGGATGCTGCAGATATTGTCTTTCTTTGCCCTTCACATGGGCTGCGGTTGCTTAGAGGTATTTATGTCTGATGTTTCTGAAACTGAGTGGGTCATGCCCACTAAGGCAATGCATAGGCAGGGCTGGCTAGGCAGAGCTCTTGGAGCTCTCATCAGGACTGAAATAGCACTTCTGACTGCCTTCTGATAAGAGAAGTCACCAACAGCTCAACGTTTCTCTGCTGCTTCACCAACAGCCCTTGAGAGGGATTGGAGTCACAGCTGGTGTGGATTTACCACAATCTCTCCATCCATGTTCTGCTGGATAACCAGCCAGTCTCCTGTGCTGAATTCCCAAAGCTGGGCTCACGAAGGAGCGGAGAGAGAAGTGAGCAGATTCATCGTGCTCGTGTGGCTTCAGACTGTAAGACAGGTGGATGCCAGTGCATGACATTTAACTGCAAAACTGAAAAGGCCCCAGGCAGCCCAGCCTGGATCCAGGGCTGCACTTCCTGTGGTAGGGTCAAAAGACTCCGTGTTGTGAATGACCTGCTGGGGAATCACAGAATCACAAAGGTTGGAAAAGACCTCTAAGATCACCCATCAGCCCATCCCCACCGTGCCCACTGGCCATGTCCCTCAGTGTCACGTCTCCACAGTTCTTGAACACCTCCAGGGGTGCTGACTCCACCGCCTCCCTGGTCAGCCTGTACTGGTGCCTCTTTCACAGAAGTGTTTCCTAATATCCAACCTGAACCTCTCCTGGTGCAACTTGAGGCCATTACCTCTTGTTCTATCACTGTTGCCTGGGAAGATGCTGACCAAGAAGAAGCGGAGCTGCTCTACCCTTTGCTACCAGATTGCTCTTGACTTTCTTTAATCGCAAGAATGATGGAAAAAGTGAATTGAAGCCAACTACAAATGCAGCTTTGCTAGAGGAAATGCATGGGCAGCGGTACTTTCCTGCTGCTCCATCCTGCCCTGTGGTACTGGTGGGATTTGATTTATTCCATCTCCCTTGGCCTGGCCAGAGAGGTTGTACAGAAACACAGCTGGCTGTCAGGCCTTGAGAAATGCATGTGCCATATGTGGGGCTAACATCACCCAGCCCTGGGGGGGAACAGCATGAGGATCTCATTACACTTCCTCTCTGTGTGTTTGTTTTACAGTGCTTTGTTTGGGAGCATGCTTGGAAACTCAGCTGTTGTGCTGGAAAACATTCAGTATTTGTGTATCAACAGTGAATAACTGCCTCCAGACAGCCAGAAGGATGCAATTCATGCAGTGGGATGGGGCGATGCTGGGTGTGGGGCTTCACGCAGGACATCTCTGAGCAATGGGTTTGGGGTGTGAGGATGGGAGAGATGGTGGAAGGAGTGCACATCTGTGTGCTGCCTGTCCAGAGCCCAGGAAGAGCCCCCACTGAAAGGAACAAGCTCTTGGTCCACGTGCAGCTCTGTAGAGACGAAGCCAACTGTCCTTACTTGAGTCTGCACAGGTGATCAAGCCAAGAAGCCACTGCAGATGGAGAAAGCCAAGTTGAGAAGCTGCAACACTTCCAGGGACTTGATTTGCTGCTCTTCCAGAGGAAGGAGAGTGGTGGGAGACTTTGGTCTTCTGGGTGTCACTTGGCAGTTTTTACAAAGTCTTTGCAAAGTCTTCAAGCACTTCTATTTTTTTTCCCCCCAATTCTGTACGATCTTATTTTCAAAAGCAGCTTAGGCACCTGGCATTTGTTTCCCCATAGAAAGCCAATGGAAAGCAGGTTCCTGTGGCCTGCCTCTATCTTGAAGATATCAATCAATTTGCTCGCACTGACACTTTGGGTAATTACACAGCTAATTGGGATGTGATCCTCAGAACGGATCACGTCTGCAAATGTTACCTCAGACATTTAAACTCCAGGTGCTTGATTTGTTTCTCTGATTCCTCCCAAGTCCATGACCCTATTAGAAGGTCACCTAAAGAGAGGAAACAAATCCTGCCTTTTGGGAGGTCTGGTTTTTGTTCCTTGGTTGTTTGGATATTTCTGGCAAGCTGCTGACCTTGCCTCCATGTCTCTGGTTTGTTTCTATCCCCAAAGCAGAGCTCTTGGCATTGCCTTCACTTACCCTGATGACATTGTGGAGTAGTGCTTGGCTATTAAAGCTCAGTGCATGTGCATCTCCTTTGCTATTCACCACCTTCACTCTCCTATTTAAAAGTGTAAATAATTACATGTCCTGGGAATAAACAATGAGTTCAGGAAGAGCTTGTAGGCTGGGAAAGATTGACTAATTCTTGGCAAGGACAGGTTGGTGTGACTGTGTTGGCTTCAAGGCAACTGTATTGATTAATGCTAGCAACATGAATGGCTCCGCTCCTCCAGATGTTCTGATGAATGCTTGCAGATAATGAATCCTGTCTGGAAATCTAGAGAAGTTTATGAATGTCTGTGGGATAAAGATAATAGAGATGGTGTTAAGTGTGTGGGCAAGGCTCAGTGCAGGGCAGTGAGCAGTCTCACTCCTATTGGCAAGGCATTGAAGGTTGTCAGAGGGACCTGGACCTAGCTGCAGGCAGAGCTGTTGCAGCCACTGCTGAAAGTGAATTTATCAAGTGAGCAATCAGAGATTGCTGCTTCTCGTTGTGTGTGTGTGACATAAACATCTATTATCTTCATTTGTAAAATTTCTCCGTGGCTCACCTCAGGGCAGATACTTCAGAGAGCTCAATTACAGGCAGTTAGTTGCTTGACAACACTTGGCAGCTGCTAGCAGGGTGCAGGCGCTGTGTCCCTGTCAGGCAGCAGATCTCTGTTTATTAATGTACTGTCATCAAGCAGTGCATTAAGTCACCTGAGAAACTGCTGGGTTCCTCAAAGGGATGGGAAAGGATGGAAGGGATGCAACCTTGAGGATGTTGGCTGGTACAGGGGGTTTCCAGCCACACTGAGACACATTGGAATAGAAGAGCTGCATCTCAGTGTGATTCTCAGTCCTCGCCCCCCAAAAGCCCACCATTCATTTCAGCATTAAAGCAGATGGAAATCCTACCTGAGGATGGGAACTCTGCCCTGCTGAGAGCTCAGAAGCCTGGCCCTTGTGCCAGAGCCGTGAGCTGAACAAGCCCTTCTCGTGCCCAAGGGAACAGTCCATGCTGTCCTCCAACTTGGTATCTCCTCATCTGGTGGGTGACCATGGAGAGGTGGGCTCCTAGCACCTCAGTGATGCCTTTTGAAGCAGCTCATTGACAACCTTCTGTTTTGCTGTCTGCTGCAATGAATGTAGGAACTGGCTAAGAGTCTCCTGATAGTGATCTGGGACCTTTTCAAGTTTTATTTGTTTAAAGAGACTTTCATTCCCCTTCTAAGAGGCAGTGGAAGGGCTCTGTGTGGCCAAATGGCAGCTCCAGTGATCAATCAGTTCCTCGTAACGACCAACATCCTGCAGCGGTGAAGGGCCACGATCAATCATTACCCATTATTATTACATGATGAAATTCTAATTATGGGAGGGAAACACTGCATTACACTCTCCTATCCGTCATCCCAGAGCTGCGTGCTTGGGTGGCAGCTTTCAGTCAAGCTCAGCAAAGAACTCAATTGAGATCCATTAACCCCCTGCTAACAATCTTACCTGGCTCAGCACAAGAAGGAGCCAAGACTCAAAACAGGCAAGGAAAAGGTGTACAGTGCACCAAAGCTCTTCTGAACAAACTCCTTGAGCGTCCTTGCTGCTTTGTGGGAGGCAGACCTAAGCATTGTGCACCAGCATGTCCCCTAAGCGGCTCTTGTCATTAATGAATGATCCTCGGATCTTTGCAAGCAGTTGTGTGTTTTTGTGTTGTTGTTTTTTTTTCCCCTGGCAATGCTAAGCAATTTATTTTTTTTTAAATGAAAACAGCTCAAAGTTCTTGGCAGATCTCAAAGCCTGAAAGAAAGGAAAGAATAATCCCCCAGGGTTTTGGTTGCTCCAAGATGAATTATTTTGCTAGAAACACACTGGAATTCAGAAGTGCCTCTTTTGATGGGCACACTTAAGAGTTTGATTCTGTTTTGAAAATACCTGGGGAAAAAAATAGCGCCTTAAGAGACTTTTTTTTTATACCTGAGTAAAATGAGTGAGGTGTTTTGTAGCCACCCAAAGAAAGTTTTTGTTTAAAATATTGTTGAGAAGCTTCCTACTTCCTTTGGAGGAATTAAATACCTTGTCACATACGAGCCCTTTGTGGGGCAGTTGGATGGATTTAGATGACCTCAAGGTCCCCTCTAGACTATCTTCTGTGACCCTTTGACATTAATCTCTGTTCTAATGGCTTGATCATCAATTATCCCTGAATAAAGGAAAATGTCATTGTGTAATAATTCCCTGGTTGCATTTGTGTAGGCTGTTCCCCAGCCCTCACTCCTACATTGCAATTCAGGAAAAGGATCTGATCCTCACTTAACGCTGGTTTTGGTTTCCCCCGGTGAGCTGTTCTACATTATTTTGTGCCTTGATACGTATAAAATAAAACCACATTGTGTTCCCCTGCCTTGCTTTGGCCAGTGATGGTGGAATTTACCAAGTTGTATCCCTGTCCTGGGGATCTGGTGGTTGAGGTGACTCTGGACCACAACAGCCACCGGGCTGATCTCTCCTCCCAAGGTAGATCTGGTAAAGAAAACCAGGGACTTAAAATCATAGAAACATTAAGGTTGGAAAAGCTCACTAAGATCATCGAGTCCAGCCATTAAGCCATCCCCACCATGCCCACTAAACCATGTCCCTCAGTGCCACGTTTGCCCTCTTCTTGAAAACTTCCTGGGACTTCTCTGTTGCAGCAGAACAGCAGTAACTCAAGAACTGCTCTGGTTTCATGTATGTGAGTAATTGGTTGCTGCTTTCCTGGTCAGAAGACCCCAGACAACTCAACATCTCTCTTTTTAGGAAAATCTGGTCTCCAGTTCTGCATTTCCTTGTTGGAAAGGTTCACAACAATGGCGGAATTCCTTCCTGCTCCCATGGGGTTATTTTTGTTTTCTCCCCTTTCTTCAAGCTGTTGCTTTCAGATTCATATGGTCAATGTTTGCACTGACTCGTTAGCTGCTTTTATGATCTTTAAAATAATATATATATATGTATTTTCCCTGTTGTTTGAGTGTTTCCTTCCATCTCCCCCCACAGTAATTGAAGAAAACCTGGGCGTAAGAACTTTAGTGTGCAGGTGACAAAGCTGGCTTAGAAACAGTTTAGAAATTATCGATAGGTAGCAGGGGAGCTTCTCTATTTCTTAAGCAGTTATTGTTAGTCAGACCTTGTTAATAAAAATGTTAGTACAGAGTTCACAATAACAGAACCCTAATCGTCCTAGAGTATGTATTAGATAAATAATAAATGGGAATAAAGTATCAATGAGTGGTGTCTATAGCAGACATCTGTTTCCTTACTGGCCTGCAGCCATGCCTCTCTGGGCTGGGATCTCATAAGCCAAGTGAGGTCAGGCGAGTTCAGCTCTGGGTGAATACAAGTGTGTGGATGGCCATGCTGATGTGGGCTGTTGGCTGAGCATCTGGGATTGGTCTTCACCAGACATTGCCAGCAGAGGGGCAGGTCCCCAGCCTCACAGGGAGAATCTTCTTGAAATCCTAAACCTACCGACAAAA